AGCCTGCTTCTCCCTCTCCCACTCCCTCTGCTTGTGTTCCCTCTCTCGCTGTGTCTCTCTCTGTCAAATAAATAAATAAAATCTTAAAAAAAAATAAATAAAACCTTACAGATACATTTGAGGTTTCCTCTGTACTCACTCCCCAGAGCTTCCCTTTCTGCCTCCCAAGAGGCAGCCACTCTTAGGAATTTGGGGTGGAGCCTTGCTATCGGTGTGTTTATATTTGACTAATCTGTACACATTCATAAATAATATAGTTTAAAAAATTGTCATTTCATAGTAGAGCTCCATAGTAGAGCTCCAGAGTGAGCACAGTATGTCCATAGATTGTTTCTGAGGTCTTTATAAGACAATTCAAATACCGATTCACTTATGTTAACAGTGAGAAACCGTTTTGGGGAAAAATGTTCTGGTTCTTTGGTTTAAATTTTTTTTTCCTCTGGCCATTAGGGGGTGCCAAGACAGCATTAATTGGCTGCCTTGCTACATGATGGCGAGGCCCCGAAGGCAGCCCCTATTAAGGACCTTGTACCCCTTCCTTCCTTGCTGCTTCTCCGAAAGAAACTAAGCCATTTGGGTGGATAATTGTGATCATAGTCTTTTGAGGTTTCACTATAGGCATTATAATAAAAACTCCGTACAGACTGACTGTAACTTACTCTTTTCACCTTCGGAAGATTTCCTAAGATGGAATAGTCTTGAAATGTTATCCAGGAAGAGGTTCCAAAAGCTCATTTTATGCTTTGGGATAGTAGCACAAAAATAAGGATTTACTCTAAAGTCCTTGATGGCTCCATCTTCCTTCCTTCTTGCGTTACAAAGCCCTGTTGGTCGTACCTGGGCTGTGTTTTCAGTTTGGTCTCTGCTCTCTTTCGATTGCCTCTCACCATCTTCATTTAGGCAACCCCCTCCCCTTTTGCCTCAGCCAGAGCGATAGCCTTCTAACTACTTTCCCTCTTAAATGACTTCCCTTAAAAGTTTTTTTCCCCTGCCTAGCCCCCACAATTTTGCCATCTCCCTTAGAATAAACTATATGTGTGTTACTTATTTCCAGCTTTAAAAACTGAAGCTAACCTTCCGCTGCTATACAGAATAAAACCTAATCTGCCCTCCTCCAGGTTCCATCAGCGCGTGGCCACTTGCGACTCATCTGTCCCTCCTAACTGCCATCATGTCTTTCCTCTTACTCCCTGGGTTTCAGTCCCAGTGAATTTGTCATTTCTTGAACGTGCCATGTCTTCTGTCACCTGAGGATGGGGTGAGGCAGGCGGGCAGAAGGAGAAGAAAGTCTACAGATAAATTTACGTGATCACTTTGAGAACTACCTTCCCGGGAACAGCTAGTGTTAATCTTGTTTTGTAGGAATTGTGACCGTCCATGACGCTGTGGGATTCAGAATTCCTTTGAACAACATCTTCAGATGCAATAGTTTATCAACTTTAGAGAAGAATGGTGTCGTCCAGTCCTATTGGGATGTTCACGTACAGGCTTTTGTCCAGAACGGCACAGTGAGCACAAAAGGTGAGTTCTTCAAGTGTATATACTTGGATCCTAATTTAAGATTAGAGTATACCAGCTGGCTTTCATTGACGTTGTTATCTGGAAGCATTTCTATACTAAGCCTTGTTCGTAGCTTACACTGGACTATAAAGTTTTTGTAAATAACCACAATTCTTGTTCTTGTGGAACTTGTGATTTCAAGTTGATGATGTACACGTTGTACGGATGGCTTTTTACAAATGCTCGACCTGTAGGGTTTTCAGCTGATCAAACCTAATCTTTGTTTGAACATATCCTCAAATAGCTTGATCATCAGCTCTTTAGCTTAGGAATGAGATTTTTGTGTTCGAATCTTGAATTTTATAAACTGCTTTTGTAACTTACATATGACTTTATGGAAATGTCATAATTTCCCATTCACCAGCTCGGAAAACCTACCGGCACTTCCTAAGGAGAGGTTGAAATGCCTCTGATTTGTTGAAGGGGTGATACAAATAATGATACAAATAAAAGGTTCATTTGTACTTAAACCCTTTAATGATTTCCGACCGTTTTCCTGGCTAACACTGTCCTTCCTTCTAGCGCTTGTATGTGGGAAGGAAGAGGGCAGGAGTGAAATGTTTTCAAACTTAAATCTTTCATTTTCACATCAGAGGCAGGTGACATTCTCTGGGAATACAGGGACTTCGGGGTCTAAAAAGATGAGTGTGTGGTGGATAAAGTACGAAGTAGAGAAAGCGTTTGTATGTGTCTGGTGTGTCGTAACTCTTAGAGATTGTCGGCATCCGAAGCAGCAGTTTGGGAACCCCTCTGCCCAATGCCCCTAACATAACCCTTTGGCCTTCCATTGTGAGAAGTATTTTGTTCTTTCCTGGCCTTGATGTATTAAGAAAAAGGCCACTTGAATTTGTTTTGTCCTTTGTTTGTTTCTTTAGAGTTTCTGTGTGAAAAAGATAAAACTATAACCACTGTGGTGCCCATCGTCCCCACCACTGCACCATCTCCTACTACAACACCCACTCCGAAGGAAAAACCAGAGGTGGGGTCCTACTCGGTTAATAATAGCAATGGTACTTGCCTTCTGGCTACCATGGGGCTGCAGCTGAACTTCACTCACGATAAGGTATAGTTCTCTTTTTATTGGTACGTTCTTCTCGTATCTCCTCTCAAATATGGTATATCCTGTCTCTGGCCCAAGAGTAGTGTTGCTAGACTGGTTCTGTTTTAAAGAAATTTTTTAAAAAATATTTTATTTATTTATTTGACAGAGAGAGACACAGTGAGAGAGGGAACACAAGCAGGGGGAGTGGGAGAGGGAGAAGCAGGCTTCCTGCTGAGCAGGGAGCCCGATGCGGGGCTCGATCCCGGGACCCTGGGATCACGCCCTGAGCCGAAGGCAGACGCTTAACGACTGAGCCACCCAGGCGCTCCTGTTTTAAAGATTTTTAAAAATTTATTTATTTGAGAGAGAAAGAGAGAGCACAAGCAGGGGGAGAGGCAGAGGGAGAAGCAGGCTCCCCGCTGAGCAGGGAGCTGACGTGGGGCTCGATCCCGGCACCCCCAGGATCATGACCTGAGCGGAAGGCAGAAGGCAGACGCTTCACTGACCGACCGAGCGGCCACCCAGGTGCCCCTTTTAAATGGGGATTTGATGTTCACTTGTTGAGGTCTGATAAATTTGGAGTTACTGTAACCACGAAGAGTTAATGTCCGTGTCAAGGGGTTGTCTTGGCCAGCAGGAAACCTAGCCGTTTCAGGGACTCTTTGAGGCTTAGATTCTATTTACCATCAGTAGATCAGAGTACACACAGGTGATTTTTATTTCAGTCAGTTTAAAATATAACTCCTTCACGTTTGTATCTGAAACACAGTGTAGATTGATGTTTGGGAAAGTGCCACTGTTTCTCCACAATGACTCTGATGGTAGCGATGTGCTCAGGGCTCCAGTACTTGGCGCCAGTTGTGGTTGCAGTGTTCCGCTGAGCCTCCAGGGGGCGTGCCGATGGGCAGATCCCACTTCCAGAGTCTTGCGACTTCAGTAAGCTAGACAGATGGCTCTTGTGCTCCATAAAATGTGTCTTTTTTTTTTTTTTTAAGATTTTATTTACTTATTTTAAGTTGTCTGAGTCATAGCTTGAGGGCCTGGGCCAACTTTGAAAGTAAGACACCATAACCTTAAGTATGCAGACAAAAGGATTTTTTGTTCTCCACTGAAGTTGCTCATTAGAGTATAAGGTTTTTGCTGTGGACGCGTATGGTTAAGCTGTACCTTTCTCTCTGTTCTTCCCCTACAGGTTGTTTCAGTTATTAACATCAACCCCAATACGACTGACTTCACCGGGAGCTGTCAGCCTCAGACTGCCCTTCTTAGGCTGAACTGCAGCAACATCAAGTATCTTGACTTTGTCTTCGCTGTGGTGAGTAACAGATTTCTCTTAAGATTAAGTTCGTTTTCTTAGAAACACATCTGAAAGTCTAAATAGCTATGTGTGTGTGTAGAGGAGTGGATTTAGCTCTGTTTTCCATTTCAGCACTACTGAGTTATAAAGTGTAGTCCATCGACCCCTCTTAATCCCTCAGAGTCACCTCAGTGATCTGTGGGCTGGATTCTTAATATTCATGTTCACCAAAAGCGACTATTCGGCCATTATATAGACTTCACGGTAGGGGCAAGAATTAACCCACATCAAAAAAAAAACAAAAACAAAACCTCTCTAATCTAACCGATACAGAAATATTTAATAATAAAGTATATATATTTATATGTTATATATTGCAAAAGATAAAAAGTAATTTCCATGATATGTTTCTCTATTATTGGTTGGAAAACTCGTGTTTGTTTACTCTAATATTTTAGGTTTTTGGGAGGCTATACTGTTTGTCATAGTATCAGTAATAATAATAGCTAACATTCATCGAGTACTTGCCATCTACAGGACTCTGTGTAAGTACTTAACATGCATAAACTCATTAAATCAAGAAAGCGTATAATGGTAGCATTCAGATTTTTGTTGTTCATGCTTATATGAAGGGCTGAACCCCAAAGAGAAGGTTCCAGGTTAAGCATACGTGCTCTACTTCTTGCTAGTGTAAATTCATCACCGAGGACTTTTATTTCTACCTTCTAGAAGCAGTTAATTACCCTCATAATTTTTGGGGGGTGTGTGTGTGTGTGTGTGTTCTGGCAAATGGGAATGGGAAAGAGGGGACAGCCATCAATGAGGGAAAATGTTAAGCCGCCGGCAGTTCTCAAACTAAGGGTTATTGTATAGGTAGATTAAAAACCAGTTCTGCTTTTAAATAAGATTACAATATTTAGGGATGGGGAAATACTCTCAACATCTGATATATAAAAAAATTAGATGTGTGGTGTTTGTTTCAAGTCCGAACTTGGTATCTTTAGTCTAAAGCCCTTTTTCTCTATGGAATGTATGCAGAGTAAATGAGGATTATATCAGGCAATTATATCTTAGAGAGGTTTATAAAAATCTTCCCTTTACCGGCGTTGAAATCATTCCTCTGTTACAGTACACATATGACCAGAGGATTAGTATTAAAAAGGTCTGGTCAGGCTTGTCCTCTTCGATGCGGTAAAGCAGGCCTCCCCAGACATATTCTTTTAAAGGTATGTCATAGGGATTATACTATCAGTAAGAATTAATAAAGTAATATTTTAGGTTCCTTCCCTTTGGAGTGATTGAGTTTTGATCTTTCTAGCTGTGGTCGGGTCCTAAAAGGAACATGATTTTTCTAACTCTTACGGGAAAATATTTAATAATTATAATATCTAATTTGCCCAACAGACTATTTTATTTTTTTTTTAAGATTTTATTTACTTATTTGACACAGAGAGAGCACAAGCAGGGGGAGCGGCAGGCAGAGGGAGAAGGAGAAGCAGGCTCTCCACTGAGCGGGGAGCCCGACGCAATGTGGCGCTCGATCCTAGGACCCTGAGATCATGACTCTCCTTCCCGCTTGTGCTCTCTCTCTTTATCTCTGCCTCTCTATCTCAAATAATAAAATCTTTTTAAAAAAATAAAATAAAAAAAAATAGTGACATTTTAACCATGCTATAGGCACTTCGAAAAATCAAGAAACACCTGTAATATCACCAGACTTCACTGGGGCCCATCTTCAACCCTGTCATGATAGACGCTTCGAAGGAGAATTTATTGAATTCGAGTGTGTTGAGTACAGGATGCCATGGTGGGATTCAAAGAAGAAGGCCTCTATTAATAAGGAGCCCACAGTTTAGTGGTAAAGATAAAAATATACAAATGACCGTTTTTGTGGAAGGCCTTGAATACTGCACTAAGGCTTTTGAACTGGATTCTGTGGGCAATTAGAGCGCCATTGGAAGGTGCATTCTAGGTGGGATGAGTGATAGGCCAGGAGAAAATACAAAGTCTGTGAGAGTATGGAGGAGGCAGTGGTTAATTCTGGGTGGAGGAGACTCAGCAAGGTTTCATGGAAGAGATGACATTTGAGCTGGACCTTCAAGGATGGGTCAGGTTTGTACACATGGAGATAAGGGGAGTAAGCGGAAAAGTACACGTTATTTCTGGAAAGAGGAACGCAATCAAGACCAGCTGGAGAATGAGGCACGTGGCATGTTGAGGGAAAGACAGGCATGGGAAAATAGTTGGGACAAATTGTGGGGAGCCTTGAATGCCAAGGCGAGACAGCCTAAGGCGAGGAGAGGTGTAATGAGGTGGTCAAGTCCTCCTTTGTGCTTCCTCCTGACATTTCTCTGCATCTGTCCCCTCCGTTTTTGTTCCCCACGGCCTCTGCCCTGAGTCCAGCCTGCATGACCTCTTAACCTCCCAGCCTCCCAACTAGTCCTTCTTCCTCTCCTCCCTTGGTGTTCTTCTGCATCCGCTTAATCTTCTGGAAGCACAGCTCCTCCTCAGAAAGCTTCAGCGGTTCTGTTTTACCAACAAGGTAACCTCTAACTTCCATGGCAGGGTAGTTTAAGTCTCTCCCCCACACTGCCCCCCGCCCCTGCCATGCAATGGAACCTGTGTAACCTGCATATCCGGCTTTGTGTCTCCTCCTTTCCCTTCTCATGAAGCCTGTGTTCTGTGAGGTAGGAGAGCGCAGTAGCAACCAGCGCCTCGGCTCTGCAGCCAGACTTCCAGGGTTCAAATCCTGCCTCACTGACCACTAACCATATGGCCTTGGGGAAAATCACTTAACATCGCCATACTTCGAGCACCCCATCCCAGAATGGGGTGTCACGATTATTCAATGACACCTCACCTGTAAAAATTTTTTTAAGATTTTATTTATTTATTTGACAGAGGCAGGCAGAGGGAGAGTGAGAAGCAGACTCCCCACTGAGCAGGGAGCCCGATGCGGGGCTCGATCCCAGAACCCTGGGATCATGACCTGAGCCAAAGGCAGATGCTTCACCAACTGAGCCACCCAGGCACCCTCACATGTGAAGTTTTAAGAACATCACTTGGCACTAAGTTTTCAAATGCTGGCGTACTTGTGATGGTGCTTATTTTCTGGCTACCTTTACTCATGCACTTGCCTTCCTGAATACCCTTTTCTGCTTGTTTCCTCATTGAATTCGGCCCAGTTCAAATGGCACATCCCTAAGCTCGTATCACTCTGCTTCTCCCCTACTTAGAAGTCGTCTATCTCCTTTTAATTTTTATAATTTATCGCTGTCTTTTTTGCAGTATGGTTATTTCTTTATGTATTTATCTTATCTTCCCTGGCAGATTGCAAACACGGTGGGGGCAGGATCCAAGCCCGGTTCATTTGGCTAGCTCCCTGGAGCACTTAGATATGTTGCCTTGTACATGCTAAGCACTAACATAATTAGAATGACTGGCTGATAGATGCATGCTTCACAAAGATAATAGTGGCGAAGGAAAGCTCCCAGCTGGAGAGGCTGAAAGGCGGGGAGGGAGCCCAGTTAAGAGACTGTCATGATCCAAGCTAGAGGAGGTGGGGGCTTAGCAAGTGACAGGAGGAATAAAATGAGGGAATGAATTGTTGAGTGTTGAAGAACCACGTGACTACACCGTTGGTCCAAAAATTGGAAACAAAATGCAGAGGAAAAGGATTCTGTCACATTTTCCTTAGCTGCAGTTTATTCTGTTGGTCCGGGTCTAATCCATGGTTTTATCTTCTGGGTAATAGGATTAGATTGCTTTTCATCTGTAGATATTAACTGTACCTTTAGACAGGTGTGGTGTGTTGATTAACTGGAAGCTCTTTTTCTAACAGAAAAATGAAAACCGATTCTATCTGAAGGAAGTGAATGTCAGCATGTACTTGGTTAATGGCTCCGGTAAGCAAAGCATTGGCCTTGGGGAAAAGAGTGGGTTACACTGAAGGAATAGAAACCACAGTTGTTTTGTTACCAAATAGTGCCTTTTATTTAATGGAACAGAAGAATCTGTGTGAAAATTATACCTTGACCACAACTGAAAATCAGTAACTGAGAACTATAGTGTTTTTATCTTTTCAGTCTCCCTCGTTTTCAAGTAGGGTGGATAATAGTTAAGGATGTGACTGATTTTTAGACCACAGAAACATCTATAGGAAGATAGGAAACTTAGTGATCCTAAGAATTGCTTTTTTTTTTTGGTAGACCCTGTACCCCAGGCTCCCATACTTCACTGAAAAATTCTGAGGACTGTCCCATTTCTTACGTTGATAGAATAAGAAGTTACTAACAGGGGCCCCTGGCTGGCTCAGTCGGTAGAACATGCGACTCTTGATCTCTGGGTTGAAAGTTCGAGCCCCATGTTGGGTGTAGAGCCTACTTTAAAAAAAAGCTCCTAACATGTTTGTTTTCTTTGAAGTTTTTAGCATCGCAAATAACAATCTGAGCTACTGGGATGCCCCCCTGGGAAGTTCTTACATGTGCAACAAAGAGCAGACTGTTTCAGTGTCTGGAGCATTTCAGATAAATACCTTTGATCTAAGGGTTCAGCCTTTCAATGTGATGGAAGGAAAATATTCTACAGGTAAGAACCGAGCAAGTTTTATCAATAATTTATGTTCTTATGTTGACTAATAGGTGGCTTTTCCTTTGACTCATGGAAATTTAAGCACTGAAATAGAGAAATATGAGTTCACCTCTTGTGACTCTGTTGGAGAGTTCGCATGGCCTTGAGCAAGTTCTGTGAGCTCTGTATTTGGCCCATCATTTTGCTCAAAGTAGATTTCTTTGTGTGTGGATCTGAAACCCACTTGCAACCAAGTTCTTAAAACTCAAAACTGATGGAAGCATTCAGTGAGCTTTGCTTAAGGTATAGACACTCCCTGCTAGGTTTTAGTTTGTGGGAAGGATGGCAGCTTTGAGCATCTGGGATCTGTTTTCTTGGGGCCGTCTTCTCGTTGGAAATATTTTCATACACAAATAAGAGCGGTTTGGTCTTATTTTGTTAAGACAGAAGATTACGGTTAGGCAAAGCCTCAAATACCATGGACAGTGTTTTGGCCAGCCGAAGTGATTTGGAGCGTTTTAAAAGCATATGCCAGTGTGCATGAGGCTTTTTGGAAGATCTGCTCGGGGCTCATGGTGGTATTTATCAGATTTTTAACGAAACCTTTTGTGGAGGGCTCATGGCAGTGCGTTTATACAAATACGAAAGATGCATTTGGCATTACAAGCTTAAAATTTGCACGGAGGCAAAAAAAAGTCCATAAAATTCCCTAATTGACTTGTCCTTTAAAACTGATGACTTAAAATTGGGGATTTGTGGATCACAGCTCTGCTGAGCAGAGCTATTCAAACCATCCACGTCCTTTTTAACAGTTAATTCTGTGGTTTAGAAGGAAATGTGGCAGCTGTGTTTAAAAGTGAATATGCCCTGAACCACTCAGCTGCTTTTGCCATGGTGCTGGATCACCAGCCTGACTTGGTTAGGCCAGAATAAGTTGGGATCTTCACCCTACCATTCTCATACTTAGAAAGGTTAATCGCACTTAGAAATTTTTCTCAAGAATTCGTTTTCCCTTTTGTCAGTTTTGCTTATGTACTACAATTATTTAGATCCTTTCATAGTTTTATTTTTGAGTCTTTATCTAGCTCCCCTCCATTATTACCCTAATTTTAGGTCCAGATTGGTGTTTAGAATTGAAAATCATTTGCGGCGTGATACCAGCTCGAGTCTGTTTTTTCTATCTAGTCAGCTGTAATAGCGATGAGCTGCATTCTTTCCCGAATTTGAAACTTTGGTTTTTGTGTATGTCGAATTAAAAATGGTACCCAAAGGAATACACAACATTGAATACTGGCAATGAACGTGTAATCTGTTTGTGGAGCTAGGTTCTTGACTGTGGGTACCTATAGATACAACACACGGCTAATACTTGACTGTGCAGGAGGAGGAAGTAGGCTTGCAGTCAGGTCAAAAAGTGTTGAATGGATTTTACTGGATCAGACTGCTCTCTGGAAATAGAAAAGCTAGCCCCCTGGTGGGCTGCCAGCCCTGGCCAGGTTAATAAATGTAGTAAACACACGCACATCAGTAAGAGGTCCCAGCTTCTTGAGTTCTGTAGCCACTTAGGATCATATACTCTAGGTCGGGGATGCGCAGAGTTTGTTTGTAAGGCACGGGCAGTAAGTGTTTTAGGTTTGGAGGCCATATGGGCTCTGTCACCACTATTCAGCTCTCCTGTTGTAGCACGAAAACAACCATAGGCAATAAATAAATGAGTGTGGCTGGGTTCCAATAGAACTTTATTTATGGATACTGAGATTTGAATTTCATATAATGCTCATGTGTCACAAAATTTCTGTTGTTTTTTGGGGTTTTTTTTTTTGCCATTTAAAAATGTGGAAAAGCCAGTTTTAGTTCTTGGGCCAGTTTTGGCCTCCAGGCTATAGTTTGCTGTCTGCTCTGAAAGATTCCAGAGCCAGCGTGGTTCTAATCCCATGATTAAACCTTTCTGATCTGTTCTTAGTTTCCCAAAAGACATTCACTCTAGCACTAAGGCTAATCTGGCTATGTAGAGATGGGTTAGAATTAGCTCTCTTCATTTCTTTTCTTTTTTTAAAAAAAAGATTTTATTTATTTATTGGGGCGCCTGGGTGGCTCAGTCGGTTAGGTGTCTGCCTTCGGCTCAGGTCATAATCCCGGGATCGAGCCCCAGATTGGGCTCCCTGCACAGCTGGGAGCCTGCTTCTCCCTCTCCTCCTCACCTTGTGCTCTCTGTCGCTATCTTGGTCTCTCTCAAATAAATAAATAAAATATTTGAGAGAGAGAGAGAGAGAGTGCACGTAAGCTGGGGGAGGGGCAGAGGGAGAAAGAGAGAATCTCAAGCAGACTCTGCTGAGTGTGGAGCCCAGTGCAGGGCTCCATCTCAGGACCCTGAGACATGACTGGAGCCAAAACCAAGAGTTAGATGCTTAACTGACTGAGCCACCCAGGTGCCCCTCTTCACTCCTCTATTTTAGAAACGACTTGAAATATGAAACACATATACACATATATGTGTTTACTCATAGATATAAATGAGTATGTATTCATACATGTGAATATACATACACACACAAAAGGCAAATAAGTTTTAGGATTTTAATTCTAGAGCAATCCATAATTTTCTGTAGCTTTATCACTAAAATATACCTGTCTTTATTACTTAAAGTTGATTTTGTAAGAGCATTTCTGACTTTTGAATCAACATCTTTTACTTTTGGACATTCATTTTTGATTATACTCATTATTTGTTACACACTTTTTCTCACCTACAGCCCAGGAGTGTTCGCTGGATGATGACACCATTCTAATACCAATTATAGTTGGTGCTGGTCTTTCAGGCTTGATTATCGTTATAGTGATTGCTTACGTAATTGGCAGAAGAAAAAGCTATGCCGGATATCAGACTCTGTAATACTAATCCATACGTGATCTCTGTTATAAAATAATAAAGCAAGTACAAGTTCCAACATGCAATACTGTTCAATTTCAGGTATATTTAGTTGTAATTCTGATTTTAGAGTGGATGGTGTGGGGGATTTCAAACTTACATAAATAAAAACACTCTAAAAACTATAAACTACAAATTAGTCACATGATTTTGGTTTCCCCAACCAAGGAATTTAAAACTGTTATTTCTACGGCAAAAAGCATGTGTAAAATCACCTGATTATTGGTTCTATTCTATTATCCTGAATTTAGTATTTCAGTGTTTTCACTTTATGTATTCTGACTGGAAATACACAGTTTAGGAAAAACAGTTTTCAAAAAGAGCTTTTTTTTTTTTTTCCCTGCATGTAGTCAAAATTGAGACCGTGCATCCTATAGTGGATTTGTACTTGCTCCTTTTGTACTTTTTTGTGATTTTGTTTGCAGGTTAACTTAGCTACTTTGGCATTGCTGCATATTTGAACTATGAGAGATATGCCAGTAGATTTGAACAGAGTCTAGTATTATGTTCTTAGCAATGAATGCTTTTCTAATGCCTTTTGAATATACTTGTATTTAATGTGGCTGTAATGACAAAAGGTACAAAAGCTGTATACATTTTGGAATAGGTGTTAATCTTCTTGTTTAATCCTTTTTAAAAAAAAAAACTGGATTTTTCAGTCTTTTAAATGGCAAGACACAAGACTATTCCAACTGGGCATTTCAATCCATTTTCTAGGTGCTTTAGAGATAATTGCTAGGCCGTGCCAATTTGGGGCATTAGTCCTTTGTACCTGTAAATTGGCCTCTACGTACACTGCTAAAATGAATGTAGTTTCTCTTTAGCTTTGCAGTATCCTTGTTGGTGGTAGTATGTTATGTTCTTTTCTTGTGTTTTTTTTTTTTCTTTTTCTTCTTTCTTTTTCCTTTCCTTTCCTTTCCTTTCTCTTCCTTTTCTCTCCTTTCCTTTTCTCTTAAGAAATGCCAGGATGTCCTAGAACCTAGGTAAAGAAGTGCACTTAGACTTAGCAAGTAACTTGCACCTAACCCAAAAGTCTTGGTCTTCTCTTAGTCCATTAAAAAGTTGTTCTTTGTTTCCAGCTTGCATTGATATTTACAACATTTACTAATTTGGCTTTCACATTTAAATAGTTCTGTGCTAATCAAAACTTAACATTATTGTTCATTATGCTAGAATCATTATTAATTCATGTACTTTGTGTTCGGTTTTGTGCTCTGGGGAGATGCACCAATTGTCCATTTACCGTGCACCACCTAATGTTTATATGAGAAAGCAAAACATTTCAGCTTGATAGTTAACACGTCAAGTATTTCTCGCTGCTTCCAGATCCTTTTTTTTTTTTTGGTATTGGAATGGCTAAGTAAATATTAAAGAGTTGTTAGTATGCAGCCATATATGGAAGCTTCTTGTGTTTTTGGGGTGGGAGAAGACGTGCCCCCTTATTCACTAGAAAATGGGACATCTGGGTTCCAAACTATTATTGATGTTGAACTAATTTGGTAGTCTAGCTCTACACACCACGCACACACTGAGGCAATTGCCTGTTAGCATGTGTATGTCTGTAAGTATCTTTCGAGTTATACTGGAGTGGTAAATATTTTCTCCCACTTAAATTTGCCCTCTGCTTAGAGTAGCCTGAAACTCTTACTGGCTCAGAATCAGATTCTTGACCAGCCTCTCCCTTAAGGCTGCATTGAGCTGCATTGCCAGCTTAAGGCACTTTTTGAGGACTAAATATAAATCTGATTTTTAAAACTTATTTTTTACTTAAATAGTGTTCTAGTGTGGGATTGTTAACCTTATATGAATGGATAATGCTTATAAGAAAATAGACATTAGATACTTCTCGTGAGTCAAAACAAAGCAGCTTTTTTAATTTGGAAAATAAAAATTGGAAGCACAAGTGGGTGGCACGAGCTTAATGCTGTTAATGTTTCTAAAAGTTTTTACATTTAGATTATATACCTAATTCCTATTAAAATACCTCTAATTAGCACTGTTTTATAGAAAATCTGACTTCATTGAATATTTTTGTATTTTACATGGGCCAGTTTATAAACTCTTATTTACACTATTATTTCCTATAGCCACATGTTCTTTGTACCTTTTGTAGTTTTGTTCGTTTTACTGGGTTTACACTTTGATGGTCTAACATTGCTATTTGGTTCTGGGTGTTTTTCATGTTTTAGCATTTGTATAAAGAAACTGGTCCATGTAAATACTTTTCATGTGTTTTCTTTTTTTCAAATGTTTAAACCACTAGTCGATGTATGGTGTTTCTCTTTAGATATTTGCCTGTCCATTTGCTCAACATATTGCTTCTAAAACAAACAATAAAGATTCTTTTATTTCTTAAGGAAATTTGCTCACATTTCTTCCCGTTGGTTAAAGTCAAAATTTTGTATGCTACATAATGACAATTTCTTCCAAAAGGGAGAACTTCAGAAAAGCTTAGAAGTGGAACTAAATTATTTCCAGAATATTCTGTGTATTACCATCTGGAAGAGTGGTCCCATACATAGATAGATCTGTACTGATGCTGGGCTGGCTACAGAGTAAGAATCACCTGGGAAGCTTGTTAGAAGAATCCACATGCGGGGCCCCATTCCTAGAGGATTTCACTTGGCAGGTCTGGGCGTGTGTGTGCGTGCACGCTTGTGCCTGCGAGTGTGTGCACGTGTGTGTGCGCACGTGTGTGGGTGTGTAAGCTCCCCAGTGGGATCTCGTATGTAGCCAATCAGGGAACCAGTGATCTAGAATATGTATTTCATAGGAAAAGCTTGAGACTATCTCTGTTCACTTTTTTCTTAACCCCTCTAAGTTGAGGCTGATCGTTAACTTAATAGGTACCCATGGCAACTGTACATTGCAGCCATACCCAGCTATTGATCTGAACCAAAATAGGATTGTGTGCAGTCACTCTCTCAGATCACCCTAAAATCCTCGAACCTTCCAATTTTCCCATAGCTTCCCACACACAGAAACTTGGCAACCTGGCTAGTAACTTTCCTCTGGCTTACCTACTTAAGCTATGTGACCGCCAGTTAATCATCACAACTCTCAGCTCTGCAGCTAGCTGCCATGTGACTTTGGCCAGGCTGCTTACTTCTGGGGTCTCGGTTTCTTCATCTGGGGGCCGAGGGCTTTAAAATCCTGTTCCTCTTAATTTCTGTGAGTGATAGTTTCTATTTCAATGACAATTTGAGTATTTTTAGAAGGACTCTGATAAGCTACTCATTACAGTCAAGAACATATACTTTATATACAGTATAAAATGTGTCAGCTGAAGTTTCTTGCACGTTTCAGGAGGAATTCTTGTAAGACTCAGATATTTTTAAGATTATAGCATTTCATCCTTATGTCTTTAAGTAGATGAGGTTATATTATCTTGGGCCCATCTCTCTCCCACCCATCTCTTTTACTCTGGGAACTAACTTTCTCCATCAGTAATTACCATACCTTGTTTTTGAAACTAGTAGAGACATGTTTGGGTAATACTGAGTAGTTTCGTGTATCTTCAGATTCAAGTGATGTACTTCAGTTTGACTGTACATCCAAAAGGTAGATCAGTTACGTGACAATAAGATGTCACGTAAGACTATGATTTCTTTTTAAAGATTTTATTCATTTGAGAGAGAGGGAAAGAGAGCCCAAGCAGAGGGAAGAGGCAGAGGGAGAGGGAGAAGCAGGCTTCCCGCTGAGCAGGGAGCCCGATGCGAGGCTCGATCCCAGGACCCTGGGATCATGACCTGAGCTGAAGGCAGACGCTTAACAACTGAGCCACCCAGGCGCCCCAAGACTATGATTCTTAATGGTGATTCTTCCAAAGAGAAATTTTGACACAATTGGTTTTTAAGATGAATTCTTATTACAACTGTATATCTCAGCTTTCCAACTCACACTGAAAATTGTATCTGGAAAATTTCTGAGCTATCAGAAAAATGAGGATTAACAGTATTTTTAATCTACATGGAACTTTTCATTGAAATTTCAATGGCCACGAAACTTTTTATCTTAAAAAATCTTCACTGCTTCTGTAATTAATCATTAAGTTCTTCCACAAATACACTGTTCCTTCCCCGCAAATATTTTCAATGTGGTTTCCAGTGTACATTATGCAAATAAATCAGGTCGAAATGACTTACAGAATGAGATTTTCTTTTCCTCAGGATGTGATCCTATTAAAATTACTGTTTTCCAGAATGTCTTTCCATTACCTAAAGAATTTTTAAAGGTTGAATTCATAAAATCAATAGTTATTATAAATTAATACTTCACATACTAATTGAGAGCATTTTAAGTAAGTGACAGCATCTAGAAAGATCTTTGTATTAGTGGAATTGCCTTTTTGATCTACTCTGGGAATATTTGTCTTACATGAAAGCCTTATTGGCAGTATTTATGAAAGTCATTTCAGTACTAGGTCAAATACCCAGTTTGGGAAAGAGAGGACTGTGAATCTGTTGCCAGAATAAGAAATTAATCTACTAATGAATTTTTTAAAAACCAAGTTATATTAAATCCAAGGCATAATACTTTATGGTTCGTGTCACCTAATAGTTGATGTGGCAGGTGGTAATTTGGGAAACTGAAGGGGAGGAGTCAGTTAACTGGGTGCTCTTAACACCAAGTATTCCCAAGTCACATCTAGCAATCTCAGCTATCTGGATTTCTAACAGAACCAGGAAGCAAGTAAAAAAGGTCACTGAGCTGGCAGCCAAAGCCGATATCATAAAGTCCATAAACTCCAGGATTGCATCTTGTTCCCATTTATTGCCCCAGAGGCTAGCGAAAGCCTGGCACATTTCTTAAATGCGGGCACAATCAGAATTGCCTGGCAGCCTATTCATTCTTACTTTGACACAATTCTAATAAGCGTAATTATCTGATTTTTCCATCCCTGGTAGATTGCGAGCTAGGAGGAGAACTAGGGCAATAAGAGGCAAGGAAATGGGAAACAGAAGTGGTGGTTCAACATCCCAGCTGCCTTCCCTCTGCGGGCACCATCTCTTCCTCCACTCCACTCTCCCTGGCTTTGCTTTTCTGTGTCCGGGCTTCTGGAATCCTATTTCACCTACCTCCCGGGAGACCTCGTACTGTTGGCTTCAGTCCATTGTTCGCAGCTCTTGCCGTCATTCTACAAACACATTTAAGTCTCTTCTACCCCGAAGATACCCTTTCTTGACCCTGTTGTTGGCCTTCTGACTCCCTCCCTCGTGCCCTCTCTTCTTCTAAACTTCTCGGAATGACCACTGAATGTTCCCCATCCCAAGTTCTTGATCTCCTAACCGATCACTTCCCATTTGCTCCTAAACCAGCAGCGATTTGCCTCACAGCCAACACCCTCCATATCACTGGATCCGATAGGCTTCTCTAATAGTTCTCACTCTTCTCCCATGCTAATTGAAACTGGTTCCTTGGCTTCTGTGGCGCCGTTGTCTACTTGCCTTTTTCTTTTTCTTGCTCCTTTATTCCTCAAATATGAGAGTTCCCAAGGTTTTGTCTCTGATCCTTTTTAGGTTCTATTTCCCCTTGCTGAGAAACAAACGTGTCCTTGGTTTTTACTACCACTTAGGTTCATCATTTTGTACTACCACTTGGTTGGGACACAGGCATCTGAAACCCAGAAGATCCAAAACTGAACGTCTCCCTCTTCCATGAATCCTTCCCCACCCTTCACACACACACACACACACACACACACACACACACACACGCACGTGCGCGCGTGCACGCACACACACAAATAACTACCAACAAAACTGAATGCGTACATTCTCCCTCCTGTATTCCCTGTCGGGATGAATGGCACCAGCATCTACATAATCACTCAAGCGGGGAATTGGAAGCCATTTTATTACCTCCCATCATGCCCCCAATATCCATCAGGTCAATTCTGCCTTCTCGTTGGATCTCTAGTCTGTCCCTTTCTGCCTCTGTGCTTCGTTCACCCAGGTCAGGACCATATTATTAGTCTTCTGGCCTCTAGCAGTAGAGGCACCTTCTTGCTGCCAGTCTCCGGTTGGGCATGACTTCTACAACAAATATCCTGCCTAAACTCCCACCGTACTCTTTTTTCCTTCCATCAGTGTAAGGCAGAAGCACCTAGAGCCTACGATGCCTTTGTGCGCTGGCCCTAGTACGTTCTTCCTGCCTCTTTTCCAGCTACGATCTGTCCCCGCTCTGCCAGCCCGCCTGCATTTCCCCTCAAGTGCTGTGTTCGGTTGCCCTCCAGACAGTTTGGTCTGTGCAGTGTCCTATGCCTGGAATGCCCTTCCCCCATCACCTGCACGGTTAATTCCTGCTCATCCTTAACAACTCAGCTCCAGTGTCACCTCTTTCAAAGTACGTCTTGTGTAACAAGGCTGAGTTGAGTGTGTCTCTGGAACACTTCCGTGACACTTTGCGCGTTGCCTGCCCCTGTGACAGCACCTTTCGAAATTAGAACCACCGCTTTTCTTGTCTGACTCACGCTAGACGCCAACAGTCATGCCATCCACGCCGGCTTTTCTCTTTTTGCCACCGAAGGACCCCAGAGTGCCTTGCGTGGCGTTCGCGCATCCGCTTTGTGTTGCTGTCCGTTCGGTTCATTTCGTTAATACTTCTGGGCACTGTGCCTGCTTCTACACGATAACGGTTTGCCCCCGAAAGCCCATAGCCTGATCATCAAGGGAAGATTCGTTATATTTGTCCATTATCTTCTGTTTAAGAAATCTGGGAAGTAGGTGTTCAGTTGATAATCTCTCTTTCAGCCAAAATGACTGTGTTTTGTGGGGGTGAGGGGGGTGGGGTACCTAAAAGTGTATGGTTTGGTTCCTTGGAGGATCACTTTTGTGGAACCTCTCATTTGCTGGTAAGGAATGCCAATGCCTGGTGACCGCGGTGTCAGAGGCAAGGCTGGGTATTACTATTTGCGGCTTGGAAATTGTGTCATTGTTTCTCTTCTCAATTGTCCTTTCTCCACATCTAGCTCAAGACTGCAGTGCAGATGACGACAACTTCCTTGTGCCCATTGTGGTGGGAGCGGCCTTGGCAGGAGTACTTATTCTAGTTTTGCTGGCTTACTTTATTGGTCTCAAGCGCCATCACGCTGGATATGAGCAATTTTAGAACCTGCAATCTGATCGATGATAGAAAAATACACGCACATGAGATTTTCTTGCCTCTCCATTTTGAAATACGTTGCTCTCTAAGATTGATATGTCGAAACGTTAATTCTTGAATCAGTCCCAGCATTTTGAGATAAGTCTCTATGAATAAAAACTGTTCTCTTTTTTTGTCTGAAAATTAAATACTGTATTCACTGGTCCTGAAGACAAACTGGTTAAAAACACATCGGTATGCTGCAGTGTGTTGAGGT